ACTACATTTTAATCTCAGGAGGGAGATTTGCTATTTATATTACTTGACTAAAAGGCTTTTAGAATGACACTTATTTTTTTACATCAGATAATATTTCTCAATTGGACAAGAGCCTTTCTATTGTAATCTATAGTCAAAAATGGCCCGGTGTTGGGGGCCGGGGAGACGGAAATGAAGTTGGTTAATGGTTACAAAAAAAAAACAGAAGGAATAATTTCTAGTGTTTGATAGCACACTAGAGTGATTATAGGTAATAATTTATTGCATATTTCAAAATAGCTAGAATATTTGGAATGTTCCCAATACAAAGAAATTATAAATGTGTGAGGTGATAGATATGCTAACTACTCTGATTTGATCATTACACAATGTATACATGTATCAAAATGTCACTTGGACCCCAGAAATACGGACAATCATTATGTATCAATAAAAAAGATGGCCCAGTGTGACTTGAAAATATACCAGACTGTAAATTGTAACACCTAGCAGTGTCTGACATCCAGTAGGAGATGAATAAAGTTTAATCAATCGACCTAAATTGTGCCTAAAGCTTAACAAAATGTGTTCCTATATATTAAAATCCATCTCAATGCTTCAAATTTCCTTATCTGTAACACAGAAGAGCTGGAGACCACTAAGATCCCCTTCAGCTTTAAAAAGCTGATTAACACAGTTAATCAGCAGTTTCAAATTTAGTAATTTGGGAAAGAATGGCTCAATAGACCAAAAACATCCCCAGGGAAAAAAAGAGGCTAAAATCAAGGAATCAAATTTCCAAACTAAGCAGTGCTTCCCAAGTTGAGGGACCCCCAGTAAGATAATAATGTATGAGAAAATACTTTTTAAATTTTCAAAACACTGTAAGCAATGTAAGGGGGTATAATACTATAAAACTGTGAAGGGTGGCATTTTTTTCAATAACAGGAAATGCTGTAGATATTCAGATGTAATTGGAAACATTCTTTACAAACGTAGGGTCATTCCACTCAAACCCCCGACCCCCAGCATGTAGCTCTGAAGATAATTAAGTAGTACCTTGGTTAAAACAACAAAAAAAAACCTGCTGACGTTACCATATTTCTACAAGCCATGAATATTTTTGCTTATTTGATGTTGATTATATTAAAAAGAGAATATTATAACACTTTATGGTAATAATTCCAGTTGCAAGATTTTGATTGTCAAGGAGAGGAGTAGAGTGTAGTTGTGGAGGGAGAGCCTTGAGCTTGATGTAGTAAAATGTCTTTTTTAAAAAAACAGCAAAGATCATTAAAAAGTTTTATGAGTGGTTGGAATCTTTGAATTTGGATACTTGAAACACTCACTTTGTAATCTGTGATCTACTCCTCAAGGTATACCACTCCTATCTGAGCTCTGCTGGGCCCTACACTCTAATTGTTCATTTTTAAAAACTTAAGGCAAATCTATAAGAAAAATAAAACTCAAGGAAAACCCAGAACTCCAAAAATTTTCTTTTCCATTTAGGCTGATCTGGTTTAACCAGCAGTGAGAATTGCTCAGGGAAAGTCTGCCATCTTGTGGCCAAATGTAAGAACTTGCTCCAAGAGAGTCGCCCATTGGTGGCTTTTCCCCAGACAGCTGCTCTGGCACATGGAAGCCTTCTCATCCAGCCCTCTGAACATCCCCAGAGCCTTCTCACTAACAAGCATAACGTCCTCAAAAGTTAAAGCTGAAAGAACATTAAAGAGCTCTTTGCTTAAAAAAAAAAAATCCTTAGGAGGAAGATAAAGAGGGGCTTAGGGGATAAATGCGGGCTTCCCTCCCACCCTAGCAGACGCGGGGGTCTCCATAAATCTCCGGATTAAAAAAAATGGGGGCACTGAAGCCCAGAGACATCAAGTGACTCACTCAGAAACCTGATTCTTCCCTCTCACACCAAAGGGTAGTGAGTTATTCTTCACACATGCTTGTCCTCCAGATTTCTCATCATGTTTTCCCATAACCTCAGACTGGAAAAGTCAAAATTCATAGACCTCTAGAGCTTAGAGAACACCTATAAAATTCCTCATTCCATGCCAGCCAGCCCTGAGCAGATTTAATTGGGGTGGAGGTGGTGGGGGAGATGAAGACTTCCAAATAATGAGACTCAAGATCAGTATCGCCCAACAGAACCTTCTGCAATGATAGAAGAAGGGTTCCATATCTGTGTGGCCCAGTGTGGTAGCCACCAGACTCACGTGGCTACTGAACACTTGAAATGTGGCCAGGGAACTCAGGAACAGAGATTTTATTTAATTGTAATTCATTTAAAATGAAATTGCCACAGGTGCTACAGTACTAGACAGCACAGCTCTAGATCTCCCATGCCTGATTTATTCTAATTTATTATCACCTTAACAAAAAAAAATCCATCCATTCATTCAAAAATACATGTTTGACTGCTGTATGGAGAATACTGCATTGGTATTATATAGCGCACACACAAATAGAAAACACGGGTTCCACTTTCCCAGAGTATATGATCAATAAGGAATATAAAGCACATGCAGACACATAACTAGAGGAGGACACAGGGACTGGGCTCCCTCTTTGACGAGGAGCTACAAGGCCAATAGGAGACATGCGACTGAAACAGGGCCTCAGGGGTCAAGCAGCAGGAGGAGAGGGGACAGGCATTTCAGAGAAAAGGAAGGGCAAGGGGAAGGAACAGAGAGGCGCGATCAGAAGGTCCGCTCAGGGGATGCCAAGAAACCTGATCCAATTCAAGGAGTCGTTGCATATAAGGGAATCACAGGAGAGAAAACTAGGAAGGCACAATAGGACCAGTTTCCAAACACAAAAATGAGAGAACCAGGGAAGGAACAATGGGAATGAAAGGGAAGACACCAATTAAGGAAAGATTGCAATGGAGGAGGGACCCAGACCTTTGAAACGATTAAAAGTTGGGGATGGGAGAGAGTAGGAATGATTCAAAAGTTTAAACCAGGGTAAAATTGGTTTACCATTGCCAGCGCCATTAATGGGGCAGATACTGGGAGGAAGGGGAAGTGTGAATGTTTGAAGGTTGTAGAAGTTCAGGATAATGAGACAGCCTGGTGGATCGCCAAGCATTTTGAGAAGCAGGAAATGAAACTGGAAATCAGTGTGTCAAACCAGAGATTATTTATTGACGATGACAATAATGTGAGGTGGCAAATACAGTAGGAATAGAGAAGGAAAGAAGACACAAGAATGGACTCCACATCCAATGGGAAGTGACCCCTTTGCAGAGATAAAAGGGGAAACAGAGGCTGGGCACAGTGGCTCACACCTGTAATCACAGCACTTTGGGAGGCTGAGGCAGGAGGACTGCTTGAACCCAGGTGTTTGAGATTCCAGTGATCTATGATGATGCCACAGCACTCCAGCCTGGGCAAGAGAGTGAGACCTTGTTTCTATTTTAAAAAAAAAGGAAGGAGTCGGGGGGTGAAGAGAGTCAGAGAAGGAACGTCCAGATATCCAGATAAGTCATACCCCTATTACAGGGACAGGAGGGAGACTTCTCATTGTATACACTTTGTACTCCTTAAATGAGTACAGTATTCCTGTCTTCCTACCTAGATGGTGTGCTATGTAAAGATGGAGACTATGTCAATCCCAAAGCCTAGAGCAGTGAAGGAGGATGCAGGAGGGTGATGTAGAGCACCCCAGTAGAAGGTAAGCCTTAGAAAAAAGGGTTTTGCCTCAGTAATGTGGAAAATTAGTCCTAGACTACACACTGCTCTGGTCCCACCTAACAAAGCTTAAAGCAAGACCCATGCTTGTATGTGATCTAGTTCAGTGGTTCCCAGTCCTGGCAAATGGTTAGAATCACCTGAAGACTGCTAGTGCCCCTCAGAGATTATTGATTTAAGCCTCAACAATGAAAATTAGTTTTCAAGCTCCCCACATAATTCTAGAGAGCAGCCAGGATTGAGAACCACTCTCTGACGTCAGAGATATGTAAGGTTTCTAACCCTGTTTATAGAGTGCCCTTTAGTTCTCCCCACTATTGATACCATTTTTCATATATTCATGTAACGTATTGGCATTGGCGAGCCTTTTTTGCAGATTTCAGGACACTAACATGTATTAAGCACAATCCATGTACCAGGAGTCACACACGTCATCTCATTTAGTCCCCACTATTGTCCTGTAAGTTAGGTACCACGCTGATACAGATGCGGAAACTATGACCTGGAGTTCAGTTACCTACCAAAGATCCCACAATTAGTGACGGCCAGGAGGGCTGACCCGGCACACGCTCTTGTCTGTTGCTCCTCTGCTGTCCCTGCCGCAGCCCAGCAGTTGTCCTGGGATGCAGGTAGGAGGAGCAGCTCAGACACTGTGTGAGATACAGGAGACTAGTCAACTGCACAACTCTCACCAAAGCCCACCACCTCTCCCTGGGACCACCTGCGTTTGCCTCAGTTCTCCTGGGCATGATGTTTAAAGGTGGAGGAGAGATCTGGAGGGACCAGGCCGAGACATTGCAAAAGTAATTCACTTTCATTATTCTTGCTCAACTCCACACAATGCAGAAACAAGTTTTACAAATACCTCATACTTCTCTGAGAAATTCAGCTACATTAAAGGAATTCTCTTCCGCATCCCATCTCTTTCCTAAAGTACCACCACTAAAGCAGCAAGACTGGTCCCAGCGTGGCCAGGTGTTCTCTATCCTTGCCTGACACTTCCCGGGCTGCAAAAAAGGGCATACGAGTTGTGCAAAGCTGTGTGCACTTTCAACTTTCCTGCAGCTCTAAAGTGAAGAAACACAGAAAAAGGCCTGAAAACAGCCACATTCACCTGGACTGACTCAGGTCGGGGAAACTGCTAGCTGACAATACTGCCTGCGGCCTAATAAAGGTGACGAGTGCGCGAATCAATCCACGAGATGCTGCCCCGATTAAGAGCAGGGTGACGCCTCTGCCCAGCTTCCAGGGAAAGCGCCTCGCTTGCTCAGGGGACTGAAAACCCAGGCTCCTCCAGCCTCGCCCTGGACGCGGCCACCTTACCCGCAGGAGCACAGCTCGCAGATGCACTTCCTCTTCATAGGGGCCATCCCGAGGCCCTGGCGTCCCCCTCAGAGCGGTCCTCACAGCAGCCGCCTCCTTGACCCCAACTCTTGACTGGGGTGCGCCAAGTCTCGAGGGCCTTAGCAGATGTTCTGAATATTTACCGGGAAGAAAACTTAAGTGGCCCTTTTTGCCAAGTCCTGAGGGCTGTTCCTTTTCTGGAGCTGGCCTTGCGCAAGGGAGCAGCACGGAGCTGGATGGCGCGCCAGCCCCGGCGACCTCCCCTGCACGCCACCGCCCCGGCCTCTGCACCTGGAGCGGCCGGCCAGGCCCCGGGAAGGGAAGCCGCGGCCGTCCTGCCGAGCCTCTGTGATGCCGCCTGGGCCAGCAGGGGCGCGCCTCAGGCTGCAGTGACGTCACAAGGGCCGTTTGTGAGGTCGGGAAGCTCCAGCGCCTGACCCGTCAGGCCCAAGTGGCCTTCCCCATCGGCCCTTGGAGAAAGGTAGCACATGTGACGGAGGACTTTGGAAAGCTCCTGGTTGGCAAGTCAGTAGACGCCGTGGCCACATGTGCAAAAAGGCTGAAAACTCCGCTGCCACCACATTGGGTGGCATTTGCTACCTCTAGGATTTGTATTGCCCCTTCTTCTGGAAATGCAGCCTTTTACTTCAGGAAGGCTGGCCTTGAATACTGGGTCCTTCTCTATCTTCCCGTGGAAAGCTAAGACTTTGGCTGCAGATGCCTGTTGGAATTGCTCTCACCCGTAGAGCTGCGCTCTTGAAAACACAACAGCTTAAGTAAGAGCTTCTGGGCCTTTCCTGCTCAAATGGGTGCTGAATCACTTCCCCAGGTGCTGGTCATGATGCCTTAGAGCAGTGGTTCTCAAGGTTTAGTGGGCATTGGGACCACCTGGCTTGATTGAAAACCAATTTGCCAAGCTCCACCCCAGAGTTTCTGATTCAAAATGTCTGGGACAGTTGGAGAATTTGCATTTCTCGCAAGTTCTCCAGCGATGTTGATGTTGCTGGGCCAGGGACCACACTCTAGGAACCACAGTTTTTGAGCATCCTTTGCTCTCTCTGACCAGCCTTCCCCTGGAATAGTGTGACTTCAGCTTACCTGGTCCTGAAAGCCACTGCAGATTCCTGCCCAGAAGTCTCCTCCATCAAAAGTCTCTAGTCTGGGAATCTAGTTTTAATAAGAAGCCAGGTGATTCTGATCATGAAGCAAGTTTAGGAGACTCTGCTTTGGTAGGTTTGGATTAAACATTATGACTTCCTGCTTAGGGGAAACGGGAGCTTAAAGTATTGCCAACCTTTATACTCGGTTTTCTTTCCCATACTTCCTAACTCCATTGATTTTGGTGAATGAGTAAGACAGTCTTGGACTTCAGGACACTTAATATTCAGAGTTGTTTGGGTTTTTTTTTCCCCATGTTATGCTCTAGAACAGAAGACAGCAAACCATTGCCTGCAGGCCAAATTCAGCTGGCATGTGTTTTTGTATGACCGGTGAGCTAAGAATGGTTTTTACATTTTTAAATGGTTGGAAAAATTGAAAGAATAATATTACATGACATATGAAACTTATATAAAATTCAGATTTCAGTGTCTATAAATAAAGTTTTGAACTTTGTCAAAAAATTTGTGGAAATATTTCTGATCTTGCCTCTTAGCCCACAAAAGCTTAAATATTTAGCCTCTGACTTTTTAGAGAGAAAGTTTTCCAACCCACCTCTAGAAAGTCAACAAGGTAGATTTGAACAGGAGCAAAGCTTATTGATCATTCTTAAGAACATTAGAGCATGAAGCTGCTCCTTGCCTCCTGGTAGGATGTCAGAGCTCTAAAGGGGAGAATGGAAGCCCGAGGGGACAAGACAGAGAGGTGGGAGCTATTGGAAGCCAAAGCAAAGCCTGCACACCATCCATCACTATTAACAGGGAACATCAGGTGGCCCTTAGAGAGAAACTACCTCTGTAAGAGGTGTACAGAGGACACCAGCTTTCTCTTGACAGCTGCCTAAACATTATCTATACAGTCTTCCAACAGAAGGATGTCTGTTCCTTATGCCTGCCATTCAAACTGTCCTGTGGGTAGCTGCATTATCCACGATCCTGACACTCCCTACTTCCCCCATCTCTGCTCTCAACAAAGGGTAGAGATCTTGAAAGATGAAGATGGTTTGTATATCCTCAACAATGCTATCTAAAGAGCTAGTGCTAGACATTAGGGACAACCTACCCTCCTTGTTACACTTACTGACCATCTTTTGTTATATCCAGCCAACTCTACCCAAACCCATCTAAATACCTCCCTAACCCTGTTAATAAAAATTTCCTCCCATATGAACTATTTACTGTCACTTGCCATGCACCAAACCCTTCTGGGTACTTCCCTATAAGTTTTCTTCATCTACCTCTTAAAACTGACATAAATCAATCATGCTTATATTACAAATGAGAAAACTGAAGCTGGGAGGTAAACTCACTCAAGGTCACACAGCTAGTGAGTACTAGATCTGGGATTCAGACTCACCTGGGTCTTTATTTGCAAACTTTTCCACCCAAGAAAAGGACAAAGAAAAAGAATGGGTAAGCTGGATATCTTTGAGACCACTGCAAACAGTGCTTTAACTTAAAGTTTTACTTTTACTTCTTAACAGGCCATCTTTATTTAATATTTTCCCCAAAAATTTTTTAGTAAAATTGACATTCTGTGGTTTTGCACAATTTTTATTCTGTGGCCTTATAACTCACCCAACACCAAATTCATTACTGTATACCCATCTGAAAAACTACTCTTTGTAGAATATTGTTAAAAATCATCTGGCTGGGCGTGGTGGCTCATGCCTGTAATCCTAGCACTCTGGGAAGCTGAGGTGGGAGGATAGCTTGAGTTCAGGAGTTCAAAACCAGCCTGAGCAAGAGCGAGACCCTGTGTCTACTAAAAAAATAGAAATTAGCTGGACAACTAAAAATATATGGAAAAAATTAGCCAGGCATGGTGGCACATGCCTATAGTCCCAGCTACTCGGGAAGCTGAGGTAGGAGGATTGCTTGAGCCCAGGAGTTTGAGGCTGCTGTGAGCTAGGCTGACACCACAGCATGCTAGCCTGGGCAACAGAGTGAGACTCTGTCTCAAAAAAAAAAAAAAAAGGAAATAAAAGAAAAATCAATAGTTATTCCTCTGAGTGCAAAGCATTTTAGCAAAACATGTCTTTTTAGCAACCTTAGATATTTAGGATTCCTAAACTTTATTGGCATCAATAGAAGGCTAGCTCATCATAACACACAAATTAGACTTCTACCATTCAATGACTCATTCCATATATTTTTGTTTGTTTTTATTTGTTTGTGTTTAGAGACAAGGCCTCCTTCTGTCACCCAGGCTGTAAGGCAGTGGCCTACTCATAGCTCACTGCAACTTCAAACTCCTGGGCTCAAGCAATCCTCCCTCCTCATCCTCCCAAGTAGCTGGGCCTGTAGGCCCAAGCCGCCATGCCCGGCTAAGTTTTTTATCTTTTGTAAAGATGGGGTCTTGCTATGTTACCCAAGCTGGCTTGAACTCCTGGCCTCAAGTGATCCTCCTGCCTTGGTTGGCCTCCCAAAGTGCTGGGATAATTCCATACATTGATGAGCCAGGCACTGTGCTGAATGATGGAGACAAGGGTCAGTGCCTTCATGGAACTTAATCTAGAAAGAGAAACAGACAACCAAAATCTTGTACAAATATATCATTATGAACAATGATGAGTGTCAAGAAGCAAAAATGGGGGAACCTGCTGAATTCTATCAAATATTTAAGGAAAAAAATAATACCTTTGGAAATACTCCTTTAGAAAGGAGAAGACGAAGAAACACTTACAAATTAGACTTTGGCTGCAGATGCCTGTTGGAATTGCTCTCACCCGTAGAGCTGCGCTCTTGAAAACACAACAGCTTAAGAGCTTCTGGGCCTTTCCTGCTCAAATGGGTGCTGAA